TATGCCTATCAAAGGTACTAATTATGCGGAGTCTTCTTCGAACACTAGAGCTAAGAACAAAAATCATTAACCGTTGGAAATGTCGAACGCAAACTATCGAGAAATATTTACCTAAAGCGAAAGAAGCTTCGCTTTTAAGAGGCGTATATTACGTTAAAAAAAATGGTGTTGTTGTACCACTGATCTTTAATTTGATTTTTTTTTTTCGATCGGCGCCTAACATTCGGATTCATTTTCTGGATCACGTGACATTGTTATATTCATCGTTTTATATGTATATAATTATGGGATCAATTTAATGCAATTAAACTTGAGCTTTATGATGGTGTTCTTGTGCAATTTTAAGAAAAAAATGAATAATAAAAAAAAGTGAACAACTTGAAAGATTCTGTGTAAATCAAGAAAATTAATCAATGCATTTTATTAGGGGGTTTTATCTCGTAAATTTCTTTTGGCTAGTTTTATTTACAGTTTTGTCCCCTATACTCTACTTTGGAAATTGCACTTTCCCCTTTTTAAGTTTCGCATACATCAATGTAGACGAACAAACGAAAAAGAAAATACAAAATCAATTAAGAAGACGAAACTTAAAAGGGGGAATGTAGTTTCTCTAGTGTAATATGAAACTGATCGAAAGGAATTTACGAGCTAAAACCCGTTTTATTAAATCATATTAACTTAGGTTCAAATGGTGACTAATTTAGAATTTAATATGTAGTTAACAATTAGTGAACTAATTAAGATGGATGAGGACATAAAAATACATAGTGGTAAGCATTATATTGACATCAAACTTAGAGGCTTAGCACTAACAAGTCAACTGCCTCAATAATTCATTTAATTATTTTTGGACCAAACATAATTGAAAAATATATTATTATTTTTATTTTTATTTTTTCTATAATTTATTTTATTGTAGTTAATACAAACATTTTCTTGTCAGAAGATATAAAGTAGTTGTTCCTACTATAGTTCATTGCCGGGACATAGTATGGCAGTATCATTAATACACAACCCCATTTTTTATTTCTTTTTTTTTTTTTAATTTTGAAAATTAATTAAACCCTTTATACTTTGCTAATTTTACAAAATTAATTCCAATAATAGTTAATAAATAATTTTTTTTTCTTAATTTGTCTATTGTTTTTGTGACCTTTTCTTGAAATAGAAATATAAAATAATTAAATTTTGTAAAAATCATAGTACAAAGTAGATTCATCAAAAAAAAAAAAAAAGTACAAAGTAGAAGACAAGCAGTAGACAGATTTATATCAGTCACCCCACATAATTAATTAATTTAATTTATCATTGTAAATAGTGGCCATAAAAAAAAAATTGATTATAAGTTATTAAAAATTCAAGAATTATATTCCCAAATACTATTGTTCACTCTGAATGCTCTCTCTCTCCTCTTCTAGTTTTAACACACACACACACACACTGATTATCAGATAACAACAAAACGCAGTGGTTAATAATAATACCTCTCCTCTGGTTCTTCTGTACAGGCTTATTTTGTGTGTGTGTGTGTGTGTGTGAGAGAGAGAGAGAGAGAGAGAGAGAGAGAGAGAGAGAGAGAGAGAGAGAGAGAGAGAGAGAGAGAGAGCAAATGGGATGGTTCCCATGCTCAGGACAATCAAAGAATACTTCAAGAAAGATGAGGAAGAAGAACGAGTCTCTTGATCCAATCGAACCCAGTTCAGGTATATATGTTTTCCTTTCTTTAATTTCTTTTTTTGCCTGCTAAAGATCGAATTTTTATTTTATTTTTTTGAAGCAAGGGTTTGCCCACTTTACTGTATTTTGATGATTATTATGTGGGTTTTCTGTTTCTCTGTCCTTACTTTAGTTTTCTCTCACTAAAATTGAAAATCAAAACACAATCTTTTCAAGGAGTTATGAAATTCTCTTACATACTTTTTTCTTGACAGGGCATCTCTGCTGTTTGATTCTTTATGGTTTTTTTTTTTTTTTTTTTGCAATTCTTGAACCAATTGTTTTGTGGTGAATTTTGGGGTTTCTTTTTTTTTTTTTTTTCCGAAAAATTCTAGTTTTTATCAAATTTGACTTGCTACAATACAATAGATGGGATTTTTTTGTGTGCTGGAGTTTCTTGATTGAATTTCGTGTTTCAAATGTGAATTCGGTGATTGAAAATATGCCCTCTTGCTTGCTTACAAAGGACTAATGCACTTGCCTTTTAATTGAACAAGAACACGATTATATTATCACTGCACGTAATAATCGAACAATCATTCCATATAAAAGAAACATGTGTTTACAAGCTTAACTAATCGTTTTCCGATGCCTCTTTTTCATCTCCGATTCACTGTCGTTGTAAGTAACTTACTCTCGTTTAAATTATCTCATCACTTGCATATGCAGCAACTTGTTTCTTCAATAGCCACTCGAGAAAAATATCTCATCATTTATTGAATCGAACTTTACGAAACTGTATTGAACTTAAACTTTAGGAGATGCAATACAATGTTTTTTGTTCTTCAGGTAATTTCAAAGATGCCCCCAAAGATGGTTCGTCCAGTAAAATCGCAGCCAAGACTTTCACTTTCCGCGAAATGGCAGCTGCTACGAAAAATTTCCGGGGCGAGTGTCTCTTAGGGGAAGGAGGCTTTGGCCGAGTGTATAAAGGACAGCTGGAGGCCTCCAATCAAGTACCGTTAATAAAAATTATTTTTTTATTCTGTCTATATTTCATTTTCAATATTTCTTTAATTGTCCTCAATTAATTGTTTTTACAGGTTGTTGCAATCAAGCAACTCGATAGAAACGGCCTACAAGGAAACAGAGAATTTCTGGTCGAAGTATTAATGCTGAGTCTGCTTCACCACCCTAATCTCGTTAATTTAATTGGATACTGTGCTGATGGAGATCAAAGACTTCTCGTTTACGAGTATATGCCATTAGGATCTTTGGACGATCATCTTCACGGTATAATTGTGTATTTTACATTTTAAGGTTACCAAAAATTGGAGTTTTACGAATTCCACCGATTCGGATCCAAAAAATTTCGATTTTTTTTGGGAATGGAATTGGAATTAGTTTTTCACTTCCGAAAAAAATCGGATCTTTTTCCGAAATTGCTGATTTTCAAACTGAAATTCCTCTGCAGATCCACTGCCTGGTAATAAACACATCGATTGGAATACAAGAATGAAAATTGCAGCTGGAGCAGCAAAAGGGTTGGAATATTTACACGATAAAGCTAACCCACCGGTTATTTATCGGGATTTAAAATGCTCGAATATTTTGCTCGGCGAAGGGTACCATCCAAAGCTGTCTGATTTTGGATTGGCTAAACTGGGCCCCGTTGGAGATAACACGCATGTGTCCACTAGGGTTATGGGTACGTACGGATATTGTGCACCGGAGTATGCGATGACCGGGCAGTTGACTTTGAAATCCGATGTTTATAGCTTCGGAGTTGTTCTTCTTGAGATTATTTCTGGCAGGAAAGCTGTGGATAATTCGAAAACTGGTGGAGAGCAAAATCTCGTTTTGTGGGTATGATTTTTTTTAAGGCCTCGTTTGGTTGCCGATATCGAATTATGCAATCATATGAATTATCATTATTTCTAAACAAAATTTGTGCTAGCCCGAAAAGTCATTGATTACTCCCTTCGTTTCAAATTAACTGTCGTTTTGGAAATTATTTTTTTAATTTCGTATTATGCGTTTTGGAGTTGCAATGATGCATTTTTTTGTAAAATAAATCTTGATTACTCCATTTCAAATTAACTTTTGTTTTCGGAATTCATTTTTGTTTCATATTACCTGTCGCGTGTTAGAGTTGCAATGATGCATTTATTCTTGCCCTAATTTTCGCAATAAATAAATAAATAAATTTTTTTTTTTTGTGAAGGCGAGACCGTTATTTAAGGACAAGAGAAAATTCGCGCAGATAGCCGATCCAGCATTGCAAGGACAATATCCAGCAAGAGGACTTTACCAAGCGCTTGCTATAGCTGCAATGTGTGTGCAAGAGCAACCTAATATGCGCCCTGTCATGGCTGACGTTGTAACCGCTCTCACTTATCTCTCTTCACAAAAATACGACCAAGAAACGGGCACCGCTCAGAACTCGAGGTGGGGCCCCGGTACGCCACCTAGGACGAATGGTGATGCTGATAGGAGAAGGAACAGGAGCATCGAGTCTGCACGGATCTGAAACAAGAAACAAATTATATATACAGCTGAGGTTTGTGAATTCTTGTGAAATTTTTTATGGATATATAATGCTTGTGTAAGATTATTCGATAGAGAATTCGTATTTTTTTCCGGAACGTCTTTGTTACGGTCGAGGATTTTTTTTTCTTTTTTTTTTTTTTTTTTTTTTTTGGCGAAGATACGGTTGGCCTATATTATTTTACACATGCCTGGTTTTGTACAGTTATTATAGGGAATGTGTAGTTGATATATTTTGTATAACGAAACGACGTAAGGGGACGAAACGTATATTTTTGAGTGATTTGATTATATAATACGATTGCCATTGTGACGAAGTTCTTTATTTTAAGGCAAAAAATCATTAACACAGTGGAAGTTTAGCTTATGAAGAAGAATGGGAAAATTACAGTTTTCATCCCTCAAGAAGTTTGCACTAATTTCACATTTGGTCCCTCGTATTTCAGTAATTTAACATTTTTTGGTCATTTTTGTCAATTTACTGTTAGTTTAACTGTGTTAGTTTGTCAGTTAAGGTAATAACGGGCACACACTTGATTCGGTTAGTATTAACGGAAAATCGATGGAAAGTGTGGAATGTTTGAAACATGAGGGACTAAATATAAAATTAGTGCAAACTTGAGGGATGCAAACTGTATTTTTTTAGGACATCCAATGAAATCACATACAAATACAGAATATCAAATACAAGTGAACAATATATTACAATAACTCAGTTCAGTTTTGAAATAAACATAGAAACACCAACTTATTACAGAAATACCAGCAACGTATGAATATCACCACCCTATACTTTTAACCTGAGCCCTGTAAGAAAACAAAAAGAAAGAAGGTGGTGAAGTCAATCTTGTTTCGAGTTAGTCAATCTTATTTCGAGTTAGAGAAACGGACCATATAACGGGTTTTGTACAACTGAACAAGCCATTTAGGATCGCATTTCGTTTGCTTATAAGCATCGATCTTGTTTATCTCCTGCAAAAATCATAAAAATTATACTTATTAGTCGATTTAAAACAGGGGACGGAATAATGAATTTAACGATCAAGAATCGAAGACCTCTAAATACGCAGCTAACTTGGGCCTGCCAGCTGTTATATCGTACTCGAACACTTCTTGCAAGAAAATCTGAAACCTTTCGATAAACGGAACATATGCAGCATCCACCTGACTGAGTTCACCGATGAAAAACGGGCCATCGTCGAATTTTTTAAGAGATGTTTCCAAGTAATCAAATTCACCACCTGATAATCGAAACATATACATATAAAACACCGTACACATATCACATTAGAAAGGGTAAATTTGGTATATAAAAAAAAAAAAAAAAAGCTTTACTAGCTTCTTCGATGGGGTCTCGTTTGAGAGACGTGAAGACATTTTTAAGGAACGTGTCCAAATAAGTTATCATCTCTTCAGCGAAATCCCGTTTCGTAGGATCCTGTGTTGGAGTAACATCACATTATTATAAAATAAAACGAAAACGAGGCCATAACAATAAAATATATAAGATGGGATTTTTCGTGTTTTACATCGGGTAAGAGAGACGGTCCGTCGAAGGTAGAATCCAAGTATTTGATCAAATCCAGACTTTCTCCGATGACTTTGCCGTTGTGCTCCAATGCTGGAACCTAATGAATAAGATAATAATATATAGTCGCGAGTGAGCTGCGTTTACTTCGATTTTTTAATCGAACCTTAAATTAAAGCGAAACGGGAAATCGATCTGAAATGTAGACCTTATTTTCAGGGTATAATTTTTGCTTGAACCAAAGGGGTTTGTCTTGAAGGTGAATGGCGATTAGTTTGATCTTGTCTTGTAAACCCTAGATTGAAATTAGGGCAACAAGTTTGATGAACAGAACAACACAGTGTTCAGTAATTTGACAACATGAATTAATTAATTAATTTGTGACCTTGTAATTTCTGACGATCCACACGCGCTGGCAGAAAGGGCACTCGTAATTCACATACAACCTTCAAAAAGGTAAAAACCACATCTTGAGAGAGAGAGAGAGAGAGAGAGAGAGAGAGAGAGAGAGAGAGAGAGAGAGAGAGAGAGAGAGAGAGAGAGAGAGAGAGAGATTGAATTACCTAGTGGTTCCATCGAAGAGTGGAGGTGGATCAGAAGTTGAATCCAGGATTGGAGGAAGAACTTCTTGCACGCTACTGTTTAATTTTTTTCACACAAAAAAAAAAAATTTAAGTGTGTGTGTGTGTGATCGTGCAATTATTGTTCTGAAAACATGAAATAATTCGGGATAAAAAAGTTTGAGAAAAGAAGGAATATTCCGAGATGGATGGAGATCTTACGCGGCGGCCATTGTTGTCGGCAGTTGGAGCTGGTTTACTTCAAATTATTTTGAACAGCGAGCGAAATCGCAGCAAATGGAACTACTTACTAATTACTATATACTCCTCCGTGAGTTAGTTCATTTTTATTTTAATTTTGGTAATTAAAAGATTTTAAGTAAAAAAATTCAAGTTGAGAAAGAATTCCCACCATAAAAGTTGTGGAGCCAACCCCCCAATTATTACTCAAAATATTATTATTTTTAATTGATTTATTATTTCTTAAAGTACTATATACACTTGACTTTTTGTAATTTTAAATTATTATCTACAAGATTTTTTATTTGTTTTTATATTAATAATCACGTAGATACAAAAAATCATGGCCCACGCTTCCCACCACATTTTCTTAATACAAAAGGTCAACTTACGCCATGTGTTTCGTTGGTTTACTTGATGATACACTCGTTAAATACAACAACGGTGATAATTAAATATTAATCTCCATATAAATTATCAACACATATCTCTATGAATACACTGTGTGATAATTATTATTATTATTTTTTTTTTGACAAGTGTAATAATTAATTATTGATTTGTATATAATCATATACACACGTACTTGTATGTATATATGCTTAATTGGAAGTTATGTTACTATATTAATGGTTAAAAGTCGTTCGTGTATACCGGATGTATCTCTCCCAAAATAATTCATTTATGTAGCACGAACACGGAAACGGCGATACCAGGAAACATGGAAATGGACACGGCAAAACGACATGTCCTGAAAATGAGGATACCGGAACTTGGAGGAAACGGGTAAATATTAAAAATATAAGAGTGTATTTATAAATATGCTGTATAAATATTTATTTAAGTTTTTGTTTATACATAAATTATTTTACCATATTTTCATACAAACATATTCAAAATAAATTTTACTATCAACTATCAGTTTGCATATGATCACTAAATTAGGGAAACAACAAAAATATTTGAAAATTTACTATTCAAACATGTTTCCAATTTTTAAAAAATTGCAAAATGGCCCATAAGATGTCCGATAGCTGTCTTCGAGGTTCCGACACAAAACGTTAAGAAATTGAAATTTTCGTCCTACATAGTTCTCCGGGCCAAAATGTAGGAAATAGTTTTATAATAAAATCATTATATACCATCAAATTATTATATTATTAAATATATCCATCATCTGTTTTTATATTTCACAATATCTTTTTTTTTTAGTCCTAAAAATAGATTAATATTCATGGTTATTGCATGCAACTACTCCCTTCATTAATAAAATATGTACACACACATTGTAAAAGTCATATGAATGAATCTTAAGAGAAGGCATATAACAAAGATTAAAATAATCTTAATCCTTAAATGAGGTGATAAAAGAGAGCTAATGTGTAAGGCTGTATGAACAAAATGTACACAAACTTATTAATTATTAATTATTAATTATTGTTGCATACTGAATATTAATTATTTCATATGGAGTTTTATAAAATACAAGTCACACATTACACTATAATAACTCAGTAGAGTGACAACAGTCTTGAAATAAACATTGAAAAACCAACTTATTACATATACCAGCAATGTTTATCACCCTGTACTTGTAACCTCAGGCCTGTAAGGAAAAAAAAAAAGAGGGTGTAAAATGAATTAACTTGATTCACATTGGTTAGTTAATATTGTTTCGAGTTAGAGAAACGAACCATGTAACGGGTTTTGTAGAACTGAACAAGCACTTCAGGAACGCACTTTGTTGGCTTGTAAGCATCAATCTTGTTTATCTCCTGGAGAAGCGTTTATAGATCATTCAAAAATAAAAATCTAGTATATAGATAATGTGATAAGAAATACAAGACAGAATGAAAACCGAAGAAAGAATCGTTCATCATTAGATAGGTTAAAGAGTTCGGTAATAGTAATCAAATTGTTCAGTAGATGATTAATTAATGAAGTACCTCGATCCATTTGGCTAATGCTGGTCTGCCTGATGTGATATCATATTTAAAGAATTCTTGGAAAAGGATATGAAACCTCTCGATAAAAGGAGCATACACAACATCTCCCTGTGTATAGGAAGACATTCACCGCGTAAGAATTAAAATTTGTTCCTCAAAAAACAAGTCGTCTTTAATACTCATTTTCAAGAAATGTTACTTACTTGACTGAACTGGCCAGTGAAGAAAGGTCCGTCTTCAAACTTCTGCAGTGCAGTTTCCACGTAATCAAATTCAGAACCTGGTGCAAAAATACGAATCGTAACACAACAAACGGATTCTCGAAGTAGATTAAAAAAAAATGGCAGCTAGATTTTTACCAGCTTGTTTTAAAGGATCCTCTGCTTTGAATGATGTGAAAACATTTTTCAAGAATGTATCGGAGTAGGTTACCAACTCTTCTATAAACTTCTTCTTGGCCGGATCCTAAGTATTTTCGTAAAACAATATCAAATATAAAGACGTAAGAACCGGAGAAAGTAAAAATCCAAATTTCGAAGCTTACTTACATCAGGTAAGAGAGCTGGTCCTTTAAAGTTGGCATCTATGTACTTGACCAAATCAAGACTCTCTCCGATAATTTTTCCGTTGTGCTCCAACGCTGGCACCTACAGAAAACCGATGTACAAAGCATAGTAATTTAGATCAAAGAAATCAATTCGAGATACTCAATTAAGAAATTATACAAATGACCTACCTTATTTTCAGGATAAACTTTCTCCTTGTACCAAGCAGGCCTATTTTGAAGGTCAATTCCAACCAATTTTATCTCGTCGTGTAAACCCTGTGAACAGAGGGGAAATTAAACAATAAACTCAATTAGCAAAGTACGAAACCCTAATAGGCTTATGCATCTATGATCTATAGATATATTAGACTCGATTAGTATTCGAACATTAAACAAAATGATCGAGATTACAATTCAGATTGTCAAAATGGTGAAGCAAGCAAATATTGATTTAAATTTAATTAAAAAAAATTAAAAAAAAAAGGAAAGGGGAAAAGAGGAAATTGAAGAAACCTTATAGTTCCTGACAATCCATACACGCTGAGCATATGGGCACTGGTAATTGGTATACAACCTTGCAGAATTCAAAACAACGCTTTACATTTCATTCACGAGAGAGAGAGAGAGAGAGAGAGAGAGAGAGAGAGAGAGAGAGAGAGAGAGAGAGAGAGTACCGAGTGGTTCCGTCAAAAAGAGGTGGCGGTTCAGAGGTAGAATCCAGCGATGGAGGAAGAACCTCTTGTACGGCGGCGCTGCGAATTTCAAAATCCAGCAATAATTTTACAACACCATTACCGAGTAAAAAAATTCACAAATACACATAACAGAACTAATTAAATCACTGGTTCATAAAATATTTTAGATGATCGCGATGAATAAAATAAAATACAATCCACCTACATGAAAAAGGACTGATCCACTGATTCAAAATCAATATTTAAAAAAAAAAAAAAAAAAACGTGATCCGACTACGAAAACAAAAGGAATCGGTGAATGAAGAACTTACGGGGTAGCCATTAGTGTTTCTGGTCGAGTTCAAAAGCTAAATTATGCAGCTGATTTAAGTATTTTCGATTTTGGAGTGCGATAGCTATATATAAAGCCCAAATATGGGAAGATCAATGGAGAGGTGCTTTCGTCAGTGATGACGATTACTAAAAGGAAATTATACGGCGTTTATTGTATTTCATAATTCACACTCACAAATCACTGGTGGAAAAATATTAATTTTGCCTTCATTACATATTTTTCAGTTATACCCTTATTAACTCTCTAATAATTACTGTATTAATTAGTAAATAATGGTATTTTGGTTTATTGACATCTATTTTTCTCTAAGATCAAGACATATTTATTGAGATTCTTAAAACTTGCGACGAACTGAAAAACGACACATGTTTAGAAACAGAGGGTACACTAGTGATATGCATAGTTATTCTTTTTTTAGCACTTCGACACTCTCATACCAACCATGTGTGCTCGAACTAGCGCACACTGGCGGAGCTATGTAGAGTGTTGGATGGGCTGAAAAGCCCACCATCACTCAACTTTTTTTAATATTGTTTAATATAATTAGTCCATTCAATTCATTTTTAACTCACTGAATTGTAGTTTAAAGAATTACAATAATTACATTTTGAGCATTATGTTTACTTATTCTATCATGTATTTTAAGAATAGCTTCTAAAAAAAATCGGGGCACTGCCTCTGAATCACCGTCAAATTTAGCCCGCCCGAGCTACTACTAGCGACTGCTGACAAGAAATTCGAACATAGGTCAGTTGACACATCATATATAGATGGAAGGGAGTAAAGAAAAAGGTTTATTACTAGTTAACCTGAAAAGTTGATTGCAGAAGCGATTCTGATTCCCTAGACCAAATGTATGTATTGAGACGCATTTCAGTCTCTATACAACAAGCATCAACATCACTTCCACCAAAAAATATCTTACGTTATTCTGAATAAATGTTTTAATTATATAAATTATATTTTATTTAAGGGGAAGTTTGTAGGGGGGAGAAAAAATAAAAATTTAATGGATATAAAAGTATATTATTTTTTTTACAACTAAATTAAATATCAAGGAGATCTTTTTTTGTCTCCAAAATAATGTCTTGTAAAACAAAAGGAAGTAGAAAAGTGTAGAGAGTCGCATCTTCTTAATCCGACTTCTTCATTAAACTCAGCAGCACCCCACTTATCAGAGAAGTTGCCACAAACCCCAGTGATACCTCAGTAGATACATGAAAACCTGGACAATATTACCCTCGCATTACATTTCTATTTACCACACCTGTGTGTGTGTGTGTGTGTGTGTGTGTGTGTGAACAATAGGAGACACTTACCAAAGAAATCTAGTATCATCTTACACCCAACAAATCCCAGAACAACACCGATCGCTGGCTGTTCAATGAAATTCAAAACGGCATTCATTAGTATACGGCAAAAATTTATTGACGGGCGTTGAGCATTTATTTCTCTTATGCTAATAGATGGTTGCCAATTGTGATTCTCATATACTAAGATCCTTCACAGAGCAATCTTACCTGCAAATACTCCAAATCAGCCATGCTTTCGGAAATCAGTGTGTAATACGACCTTAAACCTACAAAACCGAAAATAAATAAATGTATACATTATTTCTGGTTATATTAAACTCGACCTGATACATATAAGTCCCTAAGTCCCTGATTTTTGAAATATCATCTGTTATGCTTCAGTAATCAGCTTTATATATATGTGTGTGTGTGTGTGTGTGTGTGTGTGTGTGTGTGTGTGTGTGTGTGTGTGTGTGTGTGTGTGTGTGTGTGTGAACTAAGGGGAAGATATAAGAGAGCGATTAATGGACGAGAATGAACCTAAAATGGCAAATAGATTTGATGAAATAACTATGAAAGGATCCCGTGTGACACCAAATACTGCTGGTATGGAATCCACCTGACAAGAAGAAAAAAAGAAAGAAAAAAAAAACAATAATACATCAACTTTTAGTTCGTCAAACACATATCTCGGGTTGCTGATTGATAAGATACTTACAGCAAATGCAATGTCGCTGAGTTCAATTACTGCTACTGTCAAAAGCAAAGGTGTAGCCTGCCCAAAAGGTTTCAATCCTGTTAGAGATCAAGCTAATATCAATTCAAAGAATAATTTATTTAAACACTGGATCTATGTTAAGAGTAGGTCTTGGTTGAAAATTTGGCCATGCTTTACAATGAAAAAATAAACCAATCTGAGGCCAGGTCGCTTTAGTTAAAGTTAGGTAGTCTAGTTCAGAACTTACTTTCCATACGCCATCTTGAATAGTTATAAATCGATCGCCATCATAATTTGCTGCAAGTTAGGAAAATCGAAGGAGATAGTCACTTGCAGCATATAAGATTACATCAAATAATTAAAATATGGTTGTACTAGCTGTCAAACAAACAATTTCTTTCAAGTCAAGCCTGCATGATTTGCACAAAGACGCCTTGAATGTAATTTCTTTCGAGATAGAGAAAGAGCATTACAAGTCACAGGGATGAACTTCTGGCATGTCTTTACAATGAAATTATCTGAGAAATCGGTATCTTCATCTTCTTCAGCAAATAACTAAGACAAGTACCAAAGCAATTAGAGTGCAGAAAATCAAGAATGGATTTAATTCCTATACTTAAGAGACCCCATCGATGTGCAAGATTAGTTTTTAATGCATTCCATAAACATAGCGGACTTTTTAATTTCATTTCATGCAAGAGAAGCATTAGAATGAAATGACATCTATTAGCGGTTACATATTCTCAGAGAGGAATGTCACCTTGAACGATGAGTAGAGCAGTATCGATGCCAGAAAGAGGTTAACCGCTTCAAATCTCTAAAAATAAGAGAAATTAGAAGACATTAAGGTTAGTAACGTCTGGAAAAGAATCGAGAATACAAACATTATCTATGTTTCATGTATTAACATGCATGTGCAAGTGACCTGAAGTGTTGCTGTTCCAAGAAGTATCAACGACAATCGAAAGACTACTGCACCAGCAATACCATAAGAAAGCACCCGATTCTGTTTTTTAACATCAACACGTGGATTTCCAAAGATAACATATTAAAAATGGGTGAGTAAATTTAGTTATATTTTGAAGGAAAATGACATATCAGATGCGATTGTTCGTTAGAAGGATTGCATGCTAAACCTGATAGCTGAATGGCACTTTGAAATACTTGAATATTAGGACAAATACAAACAGATTGTCCACCGATAAACTCTGCTCCAGTAAATACCTGAAAACATAAAAATAAATATAATCATGTCTTGAACAAGAATTTCTCAAATTTGCTATTCTGGACTTCCATTTACACGACAAGAAAATAAAAAAATAAAGAAATGATTTATTAGCGAAAATTAAAAAAAAATGCATAAACCGTAAAACTGGTTTGGTTTGCCAGTAAAAGGTCAATGCACTTACCCGGCGAAAAACTCCGACGCCTTCCCAACTCCATCTTTGAAACCCAAACCAACACCAAATGCCACAGCCGAGAATACCTACAGTAAAGATTTACTACATCGCTTTCATTTAGTTAACTCATAATTAGAAAGTCGAAACTCGAAATGAAAATGGTCACAGTTACGGTGAGCACATACACACAAGCCAACAATTCTGAGGGAAGAGGCATAATCTGCAGTCCTCAAAGTCCCCTCTCCTGAAATAGCACCAGAGGTATCATCATCATCAAGTGAGTTCGCATTGTCATCAACGCCATCGAGTGACTGAAACCTAGATGCTTCTTCGGCTGTAATAGTTAGCAAGGAGAACACAATAATCATTAGCAGAATACGCATCAATTTGCACTAAGGGATAAACCAGAAAGTTTCAAGCAAATCTACACCAATGGCCAAATCTTTTGGATATTCAGCAGATATTGAACTATGTTCGAATCATTTTCCTTAGATGTATTCTATCAGCAAAATAAACGAATAACAAGTTTTCTCCGTATTTTCCTTTCAATCAAATCTTCAAATGCCAGATATATCTTCAGATAAAATAACGATTACAGGACTTTCTGCACAAGGAAAAGCTACATTCAACATGCATAACAAGTTTTCACCGTATTTTCCTTACAACCAAAGCTTCAAATGGCAGATATATCTTCAGATAAAATAACGATAACAGGACTTTTTGCACAAGGAAAAGCTACATTCAACATGAATAACAAGTTTTCACCGTATTTTCCTTACAACCAAATCTTCAAATGCCAGATATATCTTCAGATAAAATAACGATAACAGGACTTTTGTACAAGGAAAAGCTACATTCAACGTGAATATTCAAAGCATGAATTATTTCAATGGAACGAAATAACCTACAATCAGACCGTCGAAAAACGAAACAAGTGCTAGTAATTTTGGTAATACAACAAACTAATCACAATCTAGCAACCACAAGAAACAGGAGCATGAATTCCTGTAATGCAACTAAATAACCCACAATTTGCACCATCAACAACAAATTTACCGCTATCGTTTTGTGAAGTAGACGCGTCCTGCTCGCTTTCAGTCCTCCTTGCGTGAGTAATTGTTGAATAATTATGCACAATAGGGTTTCTTCTTTCGGCCCTACCGGCTGATGTTGAATGCAAGTACTTCCGACCACAACCACACCCGCCCGAAACTTGCGAAAACACAAAGGCAATATTAAATAAGCGAAAAAACAGCGGAGATTTAGATGTGAATGCACAATTCAGCTGTGATTGTGTTATATATACCTGATGAAACGGGGTAAGCACGGTGAAGAGTGAATCGGCCCGGGTTGCAGGTAGCTGGGGCAGATTTCAGCAAATTGAAATCGAAATTGAAGGGAACTTGGATTGAATTTGTGTGCACTGTGCAAGCCAATTTCATGGCTGATGAATCCTCTCTCTCTCTCTTCTTTCTCTCTCTTGTTTTGAAGTGAAGTGTCTACCGTGAAGCTCTGATGGAGTGAGACGAGCCAGACGACGACCGCCTATAAATCCAGTTGGTTATCCACCACCCCAGATTCCCCAAATCGGTATTTCTGAATATATATATATATAAATAAATAAAACTTTTTGGCAAAAAAGAATGACTAATAATATTTTTATTCGCATAAAAAAAAAATTATAAAAATAATTTCAAGTAGAACGGACCGGTCCGACCGCGATCTGACCCTTAGAACCGGAAAAATAAAACAACTGGGCCAAGTGGGCCTAATTTGTTGGACTAAAGTGCAATTTCCCTGGAAACTGAACTAGGGCTCCGGATTTGGGCTTTACCAAACCCGCGACCCGTGGAATTGTTATCGTGTTCACGACAAAGGCAGAAACGCAGCGTGTGAAAAAATATCTTCTACCACCTACCCCCAAATCTCTCACTCTCGCCGACGGCAAAACATCGAATTTTCTAGAAATCCTCTCAGTTTTTACTCCTGCAATGGCGACGGCAACAGCAGCTAAGCTCGAAAACCTTAATATTCCTACAGATCTCAATTCAACCCCGCCGACACCCGAAGATTCACCGTCGAATCAGCTGCCGCCGTCTTCCGGCGGAGGAGGCGACGAACCGGAGGGTAAACTGGCGGACGGGGTGGAGGCAAAGGCTGCCGATGTGGACGGAGGCGGTGCGGCTACTGATATTCAGAAGAAGATGAAGCGTGCGGAGCGGTTCGGAATGCCGGTAAATCTCTCCGAGCAGGAGAAGCGTAACTCTCGAGCCGAGAGGTAGTCTATTTTTGTTTTTTGTTTCTACTGTGTCTGGTTTGATTTTAGAATTTATGTTTTTAGGGTTAGGGTTTCAAATTAGGGGACTAGATTTGTTTATTGTTTTGAAGTTCAGCGTGCTAGAATGAGGCGTTATATTTACCATACAAATAGTAGAACAAACAAAATATGGTGAAAATCTGTTGAGATATAGCAGATTCAGTAGAAGTAGGGCATATGGTGAACATTTGTTGAGAAATAGCATATTGAGTGTTAATTGTGTAACCTTTTTCAGTTGCATTCAGAGTTGACATTAAATCATGATATTCCAACTCAGTTATTGATTTTTGAGTGAAGGACTATTACTCGATTACTCTTTATGTGCATTTATGGTGTCAGATATTGTCGTACTCTCATCGAATGGTTATAGCTCCAAAACTTGTTCAATATTCTGTTATACATCCTAATTACTATTTCAGTCGATATTTATCTTGCTAAATAAGGTTACTGAGTCAAGTTATCTAAGTATGTCCCTTTTGATGAAGGTTTGGCACTGCTCCTGGTATCGATGTCGTAGATTCATCAAAGTCATCTGAGGAGCTGAAAAGAAAGGCTAGAGCAGAGAGGTTTGTCTTTTGCTATTTGGTTCTTGATGGATGCTTTTATTGAATTAGTATATTGACTCATCTTATTATTCATTAGGTTTGGGATTGTGCAATCTGCCCCAGCTAACGACGATTCAAAGAAGAAGGCTAGACTTGCCAGGTTTGCGCCCGCTCCTCAGGCTGATCCCGCAGAGGAGGACAAAAAGAAAGCAAGAGCACTCAGGTAATTATCATTTTCAGATTTAACTTCTCTTCTTCTTTACATCAAAGTCTAATGTAAAGTATAAGTGACATGTGTTTGTAAGTGTGAGCCATCTTTCTCTATGATGAAATAGAAGAGGAGTCCAAGTAAATTTTGAGTGGTTAAGTTGATGGGTTAGTTCAATACTATTTTGCAGGTTTTCACAGCCGGACTCTAATTCAAAGGCAAATGGGAAGGGGGATATTGAGGTGGTAAGTTATGCAATTCTTTTGTAAGAATGAGATATCTCTTTTCATTATAATTCATGCCTTTTGCTTATACTCTATGTGAAAATCTCAGAAAACAGCTATTGCTGACAAGGCTGGTGGTGGAACCTAGATCAACTATCGTCTACGATCTATTGTAAGAAATTCGTAGAGAATTTATTTGTTCAATTTCCGATGCGCTTCTTTTTATTCAGATTTACGCATCTCAGAGCTCATTGATTCGTAATTCTTTATTAGTAATCCCTCATTGATTTTGTTCTCTTTTTTTCTTTTTCCAGGATGGTAGGTTAGAGTGTTTAACTTCTCAATCCCCCCTTACTTTCATGCTGACTCCCTGATACGGATTACATTATGGCTGTCTTTTTGCGTAACCTTAATTTTCATGTACGAGGAACTATCGTTTGCTCTAGTTGCAGACTCGGTTATGGTTTCCTGGTGAGACCTTGGACAATTGACAGATACCTCCTTTTTGTGCTTCATCTATCTTTCTGTTTCTTCTTTCTGTTGACTTAGCTGCTAATGTAGGTTTGACTGACTTCTTCATGAACTTAGTTTGTGTTTTGAAATCTTTTGGTGCATGTTAGTCCTTAGCTTCAAGTTGTGGTAACCTCATGTATGAGACTAAGCTTCTTAAAAGGCCATGATGATCACTTGTCGTAGATTGTTAATTCTTTTTGTGGTAGAATATTCTGACCTATTTCAAAAAAAAAAAAATTCGGTTGTGTTTCGATTTTCTCATGGATTAGCTGTCTTCATGGTAAGAATTACATCAAATGGTTAGTTTCCATTGGCAATATACATACTGGAATTGTATAGTTTTTATGCCACAATGAGAAATATGCTGAAAGAAAAAAAAATATATCAGTGTTTTGGTGCCTGTGTTTGATTATTCTAATCTATGTGGTAGTTAAATATTATCGTGAAGTAGTTTAATATTGTTAGTCTTTTGAGATACATTGCTGCTCGGGAGGTGTTTGTCAATTGCTTATGGTCTCACCAGATGAATCTGTTAGGGTTCTGCGACGTTCAGAAATCAATACTCGTACTTTTGACTGGATATACTTTTGCGAGTTCATTTTGTTTATTTGGGTAGTTATATTTTTATGTAGTTCCTGAATTTTGTAAACGTCTAATGAATTGATTTGGAATCCTTATAATCATGAATTGATTGACCTCTATATTTGTATGATGTTTTGCTTTGGATATATTTGAACTGTCAAATTCTATGGTGCTTTAAAATTTACCCCATTTATCAAAATGGTAGATGCAATTTTGAAATTTGCGGCAAGTTAGTACATCATTTTCTGCGTGATTTCTTAATTTGCTGCGTCAAAATACTTGTGTACCATGTGACTTGCCATAGTCTCTTTTGTTTGGTGATTGCCTTTTGAAGCAGCCCGAAACTGTGCAAATTCCAGTTACGTATACTTAACTGGAATACCATACTCGTTTTCTGATTGCGATTTGCACCAGATTGCAGAATGTGGTCCTAAATCACAATTTAATGCTACTAGTCAAGGAAAGCCAAACTCAATACTTTTTCGAGGTTTTTCTGTTTTTTTGGATCGAACTCACTAATGTCTTGTTTGATAGGTTTATTGCCCTCTCGACCTATTACTAATCAATACTAACTTCTTATTTGGTAGACCAGTTTGAATTCCGATAAAGCGTAGCCACAGTTTGGTAGTTGATTGGCTCGTTTGGCTAAGTTTACTTTAAATAGTTGATAAGCTCTAACGTTTGAAAAGTTGTTTTAGGAGATGATAAGTTGTTACGTTTTTTTAGAGTAAATCTTTGAAGTGTCAGAGCAGTGAGCTTATAAGCTATTTTTCTTCATTATAAGATATAAAAAATAGGTACAAGTACATTCTAAAAAATATCTTAAAAGCTCTGTAGTAGCTTAATTTTTTTTAAATTTTAATATCTTTTTATAAAAATTATCAAACACTTTGAAATAGCTTATTAGCTTCTAAACATCTTCCAAGCTTTTTTAGCAACTTATAAGGCTAGTCTAGTGCTCTCTAAGAGTCCGTCTGGCTAAGCTCATATTAGAAAACTGATAAGTTGTTCATCTAACAAGTTATTTAAAGAGTTAATAAGTTGGCTAAGCTCATACTAGACAACTGATAAACTGTTGCATCTAACAAGCTATTTAAAGAGTTAGTAAGTTGGTACATATTCTTAAATAAAAATGATGGGTATTAGGTACTTTTTGAAAAAAATCTTCCATGCTGTGTACCAGATTAAATTTTGAATTTTTGAATTTTTTATTAAAAAAAGTACAAAATGCTTCCAAAATAGCTTAGAAACTTTATAAACTCTTAAACAACTTATAAGCTGTTTTTTAAGAGCTATAAGCTTAGCCGAACGTAAATTTTATATCATATACAATATACTGATATAGCAGCTGACTAAGATTCAGTCAGACTAAAAGAAGAGAGGCTCTTCACCTCTTAAGAGGATCAAAACCCTCACAAATCTATTCTCAGTTCTCACCCCCCACATAAAAATGTCAACGATGGGATTCAGAAAAAATAAAATCAGATTAATAAAAAAAATTAGAATAAAAAATTTAAGCTAGATTATTAAAATTTGCAGATTTAAGGAAAACCACCACCTCCTCTTATAGAAACTGTCGAACTACGAGAGGATGCGGTTTTGATCAAACATTGATCTATAAAAACAACGACAACAGTGATGTCATCGTGGAAATGCCTCCTCACCCCTCTATCGATCTTCTTCAAATCCGTATATCGCATTTCTCTCTTCTTTGCCGCCACTCGAAGACCCGCTTTTACCAGTCTCCTAGCTATTCCCTGCCCAAAACAAAAAAAACGAAAAGCCTATTTCAGTTTATATATACGTACATAATATTTTAGGGGATTAGTATAATTTACGCTCGAAAATTTAAAAAAAAGGAAATAATTAATTACTTGTCGGGGGTAACTGTTAACTATATCAACTGCCTCCTGGTTGCTAAGATGCTCCCACAAACCATCCGAAGCAAAAACGAGAAACTGATCCTCTGCTTGAAGTTTGTGTACAAGTATCGAAGGCTCTGCACTAAGAATCGGCTTGTGGAATGGCTCCGCTACTCTAAATTTCGCCAACAGTGGTTCTCTGTTGAATTCTGATCTCTTTAGATAAGCGTCTCCGATAGATCTCGAAACCTAATACCAAAAATCACGAAAATATATATTATATACACAAATAATATCAATAATAATGCATAGAAAGCGCAGCATTTGAGCTAAAAAAATTAAAAAAACTTGTTACCTGTATAATGCCCTTTACGCGCCAAACTTTGTGCTTTAAAACGACGATCTGAGAATCGTCCGGATGGAGAGACCTTAGCTCGTCTCTAATGGGTTCGAGGTTGGCGTTGTGCTCCGTTGATAATTGGACAGGTGTCACTCCTCTAACGGTCTTATTGGCTCTTCCCAAGACCACACGGGAGTCCCCTGCGTTGGCGATGTAGAGGATCCCGTTGCAGATCAACCCTACCAAACAGCAAGTACCCACCGAAGCAAGCAGTGGCTTTACAGACCATTGCTGCCTCACTAGAGAGAGAAACTCTTCTTCGGTTGCCAAGAACGCCTTTTTAATTACATTCGCGGATATTTCTTGATTCTCCGACGCAAATTCTGTTATTCGAGAAAAAAAGTAAAAAAAAGGGTTGTTAGGCACTAAACTCTGTCTTATTGCCTCATTAAAAGGTAAAGGTTATTTTAGTCATTTTTATGTCTTGCCTAAAATTCGACCATATTTAATAACTTTCTTAATGCGTGTACGAACCTCAAACGATAGTTACTATTGTAACGAAGGGAGTAGTTGATAAAGAATCAATGCGAATAAAACTAACGAGAAGGGTATTTTGGTCACACTATAGATTTTCTCTTAATTCTTTCTTATACTAGTTTTGAATTCCTAACATGGGAATCAATCATCATTCATCCATATGATTCTTTGAAAAAAAAAAGATCGATTCTTGATATTTGAATTTCTGAAATCTAAGGAGAAGAAGAAAACATACTCTTGAGGTTGGTGAATAGGCTTTGATTTACGAACCGAGAAGTTTCAGGTCCACCATGTCCATCGTAAATCCCAACGAAAGTTCCGCAGGGTCCCGCATCAAGCGAACTCAACGGTCCAGATTCGATCTGGCTCTGATCCTCCATCAAGCTATTGGCTTGAATCACAGCCATTGAAAATTCTCCGTCGATATGATTTCCAATATCTTTATACCACAAAAGCCCGTCAACTCTTCCGATCAGATCTCCCCCTTTACGACTCCCGTTTTCTCTTCTCCGATTCCCGTCTCCCTCTACCGAAGGTTTCCAACAAGGCTTCACCATTTTCTTCTTCTTCTTCTCTCTCTCTCTTTTTTTTTGGTTTATTTCAAGAACTCGATATATTGTACTAGTTCACATACAGAAGCTACATGTGCAAAAATGATCCAACAACAATAAATACACAACAGCAACAACAACAACAACTTTTTAAACAATGACCCTAGAAAAAAGAAAAAAAAAAAAAAGATCACAACTTTTCAACAAGAATTTATTTATTTATTTATATATATACACACACTCACAAATCATATCATCCAAAAGAGCCAGCAGACAATATGTTTATGAATGCCAACCTTAACTCCAGCTTTTGCTTATGTTCGAAGCCCACAACCCAAATTCTCAGAACTATATACCTACCAGCACTACAAGGACTAGACACCATTAATATGTAACAATACAAAACAAAAAAAAAAGAACAGAGGATAAAATTTAAAAATGAAAGAAAAACAAGAAAAGACCAAAAGGGTATGGGCAAAAAGTTAACCCAGCAAATAGTTATTATTATTGAGGTAGAGTTTATGGAGGGGGTGGTTGCCCCCCACACTTGCATACCTTGAATCTCCCATGGCTGGTTTTTTGTGTCACCCTTTCAAGAACAGCCTTAGCTGTAAAAACCCATTTAAGATTTGGTTGTGGCAGAGTTTGTTTCCCTGGATCAGAGGAGATTGAAGGCAAAAGAAGCTAATGGATAACAAAATTATAAATAAAAATTGAGTCTTGGAATTTTCTTGGCAGAGAAATCTTTAAAGATTGGTGTCAGAATGAGATCTCAGATTATTATTATTATGGAGGGGTGAGAAGATGCAGGGAACAAATTATAATAATATTAATTTTAAGAGATTGGAGAGAATTTGTTTTCAATTCAAAGAACCAGTTTTTTTTAATAGTGTATTTCTTGGCTGCTTCTCTCTCTCATTTAATCTCTCTCTCTCTCTCTTTCTCTCTCCTATAATCTCTCTCTTGTTCTTTTGTTGGGATTGGTTAGGTTTCCAGGGTTTTTAACTTAGATAGGTGGCCAAAATTTCAGTTTTTGTAACTTTTATGAGCAGTAATCCACCATTTTAGGCAATTTTTTCTCCTCTTATTTTTCACTTATTTATTATTTTTTAATAAATATGAAGCTAAATATGCATAATTGAAGTTAAGAATTTTGAGTTCCCTTCATAGAATTGATTAGGTAACTTGTTTGAAATAATCAATCCCAACTTGCATTATCATAAATAAAAAAATAAAAAAATTAAATACTTTGTCCAATATCAAAATGAGATTAAACTATTTTAGACTTTTCACTCCATTGATCTTGTTTCACAAAGAAATTAGAAGTCGCATCAATGGGTTTAGCGTTTTTCTTGTTAAAAGAGAAAATGACAATATGATTATATCAAGAAGCTACACTACAAAAAGACTTGATTTTTTATTCTAAAATTGACTTCTTTTGCTTAAAGATTCCATCTTTACATTCACATATATATAATTAGTGATAAAACTAGGCAGAATTCTTTGTTTATTTTGATGGGGTGGGGTGGGGTGGGGGTTGGGGGGGGGGGGGGGTGGATGGTTAGTTAGTTGGGTGAGGTGAAGTTGTTGTTAATGATGTGTGAGTTAGTGTT